CCAAAAAAGCAATCATGCTAGCTGTTTTGAATATGAAGTTTAGAAATCTTTAATAATGATGGTTGATGGTTTCTAAGAAGAAGTGAAAATGTAAATGATGATGATGACAATATGTAGAGTTACTCACCACACTATGTTTGTGGTTGACCCAATATAACATACCAGAGAACCAATCAACTGCAATGGCTTTAACTGTATCTAATTCAACCTTAGTTAAGCTATCATTTAAACATGATTTGTTCATATAATAAACAGAACCATCAGAAGTAGACCAGTAAATACTATCTTCAAACCAATCAATGTCTGCAAATAAACACATATGGATATGTAGTCAACTGTGATTGTATCTACATGTCCATGGCTGGATGTGCTGAGACTGACATTGTGAATGAAACTCATTTGAGGACATTAGGGATTCAGCAGATTCTATGTCCATAAACAAAATGTTTGAAAACTTTTTTTTGAAGGATAACATGGAAGTCTTTGCAAAAACTGTTTAAGAAATGTATATGAGGAGACAAAATTCATGTCAATATCAATTTTCTTTTCTTTCTTTATTTGATGTCTACTTGCCTATATAAATATTGTTTAGTACAAAGCTATAATAATGACTCATAAGACTAATATTTAGCTGGAACTATTTTTCCGTCCAGAAACCGACCGCTTTTTTTTCGCTCGCTTTTGTAGTACTACTAAATACTAGTAACTCAACTCGAACGCAATATTGATCACTGTAAAATTTAATAAATTCGAACCGTCATAAAATTCAAAATTCGAATGATCTCGTTGAATGTCAATCAAAACTAAACTCGATGTTTAGAAAAACAAAAACAACAGCATATTAGAGTGTAAAAAAAGTTAGCGCAAAGAACGAGAAGTGCATGTGGGAAAGTGATGAGTGAACTCGAGGAAAATTATGCTGTGAGAACAGGCCATATACCCAGCGGAGTACTCGCTAAAATGTGCCATTTCAAAGGGCACCCTTACAAATAATGTCTGTGATTGTGTGAACATGATAACGTGCAAACATGGAACAGAGCTCGTGGTCTACCAAGGAAACTTAGCGATGGCGCAGTTAGATGTATACAGCTGTTGAAAACAGTATCTCCTTCGATCTCATATAAGCAGGTTCACGTGGATTTTCAACTATTACCAACAACACTATGATAATAAAGACTTTCCGTTTTCATCATTGTGAAATTCTTTTGTTTTTATGTAGAAAATATACAGTATTTTTAACAAGTAAAATCATATTTATTAAAGTTATTGTTCATACATGAGTTGTCGAACACACTACATAGTTTGTAATTTCACTCAGCTCCTTTCAGTCACAATTCAAGACAAATAAAAGGCACAAATATAGATAATATAGCAAATTATTTTTTTCTGTAATATTCGTGTGTAATCAGTAATTATGAAAATAATTTATGAGTACATATGTAATACATTTGGTTATGAATTATTCTTAATATAAATTTCTAAATTATCTTTTCCCCCAAACAGACTAAAGAATTTCATAATGTCGGGAACAGGAAGTCTTTTTTTTTTTTTTTATTGGGAAAGGAAAGTCTTTATCGTAGTGCTTCGCCTCGATTGACAATGAGCTCTTTGAGTCACTAAAACTATATGTCCACTTCTGTTGGGGTGAACATTTGTATTATTATACCGAATGAATCTTAAAACAGAAATTGTGGCACTCAATCATGACAATCTCCCAGGTCATCGTTAGAAAGATTTTCGGAGGCAAATTTAATCTTGAAGGATTGCAGGAAATTGACCATTACCGATTCATATTTATGAATTAATCGAGATTCAGGAACCATAGTGTTTGTAACAGGGTATTCCTAAAGATACGCCAAAAAAAAATGAACTTTCGCATGTGATTTTTCATGCAAACATTGTCAATGGTTCCCTGACACTGATTCATTTTTGACTTTCAATTCTTCCAAGACGCGGCAAACCCTGCCCATGACCGGAGTCGTCGTCGAGATGCAGGTGCGATTCCTCTTCGCAACGCGTTCTATTTATTTCCGCCTTTGATTGCGTTTATTATGGCAGCATTTGTTTTGTCGTATCTCACAACTTAATGTCCAAACTGACTTTGTTTTGGCTGTAAGTGAACTACGTACAGCTCATGGAAGTATTTCGCCCAGAGTTCGTAAAACGGAATACCCTGCAAAATTTTAATCCTTTATTTTATAACGAGACATTGGGCGCAAAAATGAAAACCATAATTGTAATTCAACAAGTTTACGTAACATGTTAGTCCGCTTGCCAGCCGCCTAGTTAAAAAACGTGATCTCCATTGATGTTGGCTTCGACAACTTCGGACAAGTAAGCTGGGCGCTGGCCGACATTACATTTGCAAGTATTGTATTTGTTTGATAAATTGTACAGTAAGGTCATTCTATAACAATCGATTGGTCCTTTTTTTCCACAGTCTTACTATTCCTGCAGATATTCTTCAATTGTTATAGGCGCCATGGATTTACATAACTACAACTTGACCCATGTTAAACCCAAACCATGCGTGCATGGCAACCGTCACCCTAAACACGGTTACGCGACGAATACCGTACTCTACAGTAGACATTTTTCGCTTTCCACCCAAAATAGATGGTTTTATTTCATATTAGTTGTGTCTGTGTCAGTGCCGTATTTGATTTCACATGTTTTTTTCGAGCTTGTTTATGGTGGACATTATTACTAATTTTATATGGCAGTGTGATTCACCGTATTTTTTCAACAGTCGTTCTATAAATTTCTGATTGTATTTATTCTTCTTTTAATGTCATAAAAACAAAAATGATATACTTGTACATGAAACAATAGGTAATGAATGAACTGTAAATGCGGGCGGTTGCACTTTCAGGCGATCGAGCACGTACGTGAGCGGATACTTCCGGATTTGCGTGGTCAAAAAAAAGCGGAAATTGTCTGGTCGAATTGAACAAAGCAAGCAAAAAAAAAGCGAGCAAATTTCTGGAAGCGGGCGGGAGGTTGGGCGAAATGAGTACTGTATTACCAACCTATGTGTACACTGTAGAGGTTGATGGTCACACTTGCACCATAACTTACCTGCAATATCCCGGTTTACACTGTAAACCTCTTCTTTCTGTTCACCATTGAGGGATGATACTGATAGTGAACTCTGTGTTGCTATGACGATATAAGGTGAGAGTTCAGCTAAACAGTGAAAAATCAAAAATAAAGATAAATCCAGTCAGACAGAATAGAATACAAAAAAGCAGCCTCTCTTTGCAATGCACATTTCAATTAGATAATTGAAGATATCCTCCCGAAATGAACAAATCTGAGAGAGGTACACCTGTAGTGCTTATATGTATAATATCAAAGCAATAACATTTAATTTTTAACAAGAAGTCAAAATATCACTTTTTACCAAAAATGACAAATATTCACCAAAATTAGATTTTTAAAGATATCATCACAAAATGAACAAATCTAAGAGAGGTCTACTCAAGGTACAAATACACATATACATATAAGTAATCAGACTTCTGATAGTAATCAGAAGAAGTAGAACAAGACATGACATGTCATGTCATAGCCCCCGCTCAGAAAAAAATTTAAAAACTTATATTGAACTGGGTTTGTGTCAGAGTGAATTAATTCATTATGAGCTGTATTAAAATTCTGTTATTAATTGTTCAGAATTGTTGTGTTACAATTTTAGGGGGGTGGGGTAAAAATTTATTCATTTGGCTTTTCCGAGACAATTTATAACTTGTTAAACATATAATTCAATGTGCACTTGTAAACAATTATTACCAGTCCCTGTACCAACTTTGAACAAAACTGGATGACACATATCTGAGAAAAAACTGGTAACAACTAGAACTAGAAATTAGAAAAAGCTTGTTTTTTTTTAGATTTTTGAGGCAAAAAATGGCCTCCAAGTCATAAATATTTATCCAAACCGTAAAAATGTTTTCAATCTAACAGGTCATGAATGACACTGCCTTCACTTGTTGTCATTTTAAAGTTGCAACATATAATTTGTTCAGTTTTTGGCATGGACATAAATTGGCAAACATGATTTCTATGGCATTTTCAAGTCTATAGCACTCTCCATTCTGGTCTCAGCAAGAACACCAGAGAGCAACAAACAAGTACAACAGGTAAAATGACATGCAAGTATGCAAATCAGATCTGCAAATATGTTGAAGAGTCAGTGTTGTGTCTGTTTGGATAAACTTCCTTGTACAACTGTATTCTTAATACAAGAACACTGTCAATCACAGAACTGTTCCAGTGAAAAACTTCTGATATTTTAGACAGTAACAGGGCAAAGATACCGTTTGTCATACAAGTACTAGCACCAGATGAGGAACTGAGAAACTGCAATGATCCTTGGTGTACATTACCTGTGTCAACAACTTTACTTCCCATGTACTTCATGTACAGATCTACATGTAGTTTGTGGCCCTGAATTAGTTTCAATATCTCTAAATAAGGACAAGAGTACTTCTCATATGACAATGATACAAATAAAGTGCAAGAATCCAGAAAAATATTATCAAGTTTTTATTATCATACATTAATATTAACAAATCGTGTGAAATTGAACTTTTATGTACAGAGAAACACATATTTATGCTTTGGTTGACAGCACTTCTCAAAGAAAAAAAAAGACGACCTGCAAAACAATTGTCAGACATGCAGCAAATAGTATGCTTTTGTAATAAATGCAGTTCCAGTGGCTTTGCTTTCTGAGAAAAAAATTCTTGCTCTGCACCTGAAAAAAACAAAAAAACATTTAGTCAAAAGTAAGCAGAGGTTGTAGCATATGTGCTTGCATTAGCTGTTTTAATTAAAAAAGATATCTGTGTACCGTCTTTTCAGTACGAAAAAATATTACTTAATTTATTCATACCAGCCAGAAAGAAATTGCAGTTTACACTGAGCAATTAGGAATATACATGGACAACAATTGATGCATGTCTAGCAATATACTGTTTGAAAGGCTGCAAGATGTAATGAAATAGCAAACAATCACTACTCGAGTCGGACTGGCTGGGAAACTGCACAATACATACAAAAATGTATGCAAATGATATATGAGCAGCTCCACCAAATTTAAAAATATTCTTTCCATAGTTATGACTCTAATGTGAATGTGATTTTCCACTCCTTAGCAATAGTAGTTAGAGTATTGTATTGTACTGTATCGTACAAGTTTATTGTGATTCTATATGTGTTTGTAATATTATTTAGCTTTATTAAGCATTCTGTTTAGTTGGTTAACTTTACTGTATCTTAATGTAGTTTATTTTATTTTTATACGACCATAGAACAACTCACTGTAGTTTGTTTTAATGTTGAATAAAAATTAAAATCAGTCACTGTATAGTGGTGACGTATTGCGCGAAATTGTTGATAGGAACAATACTTTTCTCGATTTGCGTGCCATCGCGCGTCGTTTAAAAAATGCATGGAATGGTCAGCAGTATCGATCAAGTTCGTCTAGTGTGACATTCGTGGCTGGCGAAAAGCAAGATGCCGTATAATCATTTAAAAAGGCGTCAAGGAGGAGTGAAAGGCCCTAATTTGGTTCTACAATAGGTGTCATGAAATGTTGGAAAATTACAGCCAATCAAAAAAAACTGTTCACATGACAACAAATAATCACGGTACGGTAGCTTTAATACTTGTTTTCGAAGTGTTGTAATTGTTGATTAGTACTCAGTAGTGAGTATATTAACGTACAAAATATAAATTCGTTGAATTGTTATGAAATGTAAGTAAAATTCAACTTAGTTTTATCGTAAGCAAATGTTTTCGGTTACATGTTAACGCCCGAGGCGATACGATATCCGCCATGTTATCCTTCGCACAAGGCATGTTTATTGACCAGATATGTCAAGTCGCTAATCAACCAATCAAAATGCTGGATGGTGCCCATGTGCTCAAATTACTATAAAGCATTTAAATATGACAGTTCAGCGACCTCATGGTGATAGCAACACGGAAGACAAGATTTACCGATGTTTCAGTGCGATCTTTTGGCTTTGTTTTTCATGGAGAAAAAGGCATGATTTTTTTTTAATCGGGCCGATTTAGAAAAATAAATAAACGTACCGTCCCAAATAAGAATGTACCAGTGGAATTTTTCTGGGAAAAAATAAACGTACCGGTACGTTTATTTGGGACATTTAGCATTGTGGGCAAGCTCTCTGAGTAGCAACATATTTTTAACTTCGCCTATGGCGTGATCAGTGGATTACGTAAATAAACCAACACTTTCAATGAGTACATGCCAACCCAACTAAACTTGTTTATGGCAGTTTATGAACAGCGAGGACGCATCTCATAGAACAATAGCTGTGGAAATCATAAACAAATGTAAATGTTGCGGAAATCAATCATGGCGATAATTATTTTGAGCGAGGCAGAGTCTGGCAAGCGTCTCAGAGCAGCATTGCGCCGACACCACCACGACGTTTGAATCCCGGTGAGAGCACGGCAAACCTCTTAAATCACGAGGTAAACTTTCAATTTACACAATACATAATCAGTTCCTACAACAATAATAGAAAGGCAGTTTTTCTGGCGAAGCTCTCGCCAGGTTAGCAAAAGTTTCTCACGATCACCAAACCCGAGACACAAACGATAATACAAAGTGTATAAATACCATAACAAGCACAGTTTCTTACCTTTGAAATTGACGAGACACAATTTTTTCCATATAAGCGTTGCGCAAATAAAGATATAATTCCGGGATACAATATCCTCACACAAAAACGACTGTGATTTCCAAGGGACGAGAATTGCGTATGCGTCATCAAAACTCGGATCAAACTCGGGTAAGTTCGGGAAAAGTCGAATTATCCAGCAGTTTTGAAGGAAAAATGTTAAAAATCAAAGAAAAACACAGTGAAACTTTGAAGAATCAAAAAAATAACTTGATGTGCATAATAGCACCATCAATTCCTGTCTCTGTACCAACTCTGAACTGAATTGGATCACACATGTGTGAGAAAAAGCTGGTAACATGAAAATGTGCACACACGGATGCACAGACACGACCCAAATTAATACCCCCCGCCCGGATCACAGATCCGGCGGGGGCTAAAAAGTAAAACGCTAGCCTCCAAGACCAGTTGGATTCGTATATGATAAGCTCAACTCAACAAAGTCAACATTTCAAACTACCAGCTTTCAATTGATTGCTAATTACTACCTACTATCACTTCATTAACCTACCAGCTTTTAAGGTTTGTCCAGTGAACTCTTTAGACCAAGGTCCATATCCACCAGGAGAATATGCCCGCACTTTAACAGTATAGGTAGTACTGGGAGAAAGGTCATCAACTGTATGAACTGTTGTATCAGTATCAATTACAGAGGTGTTATGGGATGTCATTATGTGAATTTCATACAACCATTGTTGCCATGCACCTCTACCTATAATAAACATGAAAACCATCAGTGATTGTGGTCTATAAAAGTATGTATCAATCAGTATTATAATGAGCTAGAAGGTTGAGACATACTTACCAACAAAGTCTAATTTCATAGGTACATGACATGTAATGGTTGCAGTGAACTCAGTAAACAAGACTTGTAGTTGAGATGGTGATGTAAGTGGTACTGGATGTGGCTGAGCAGAACTATGTCTAACATCCAAGTCATTATACACAGCATCATTACACATGTACACAGCATCCCGGGGTTCAAATACAAACCTACATGTAATAGGTGAGTGAAAATAGATGTCACCTGTATATTCTTCAGTGTAGATTTCAGATCTTTTGAGCACAGCCCATGTTAAACGATCATTGTAATACACAACACTGGTGATCCCATTAAGTTCAGAATGGACAATATCTGCATGAAATGACTGTATGTCTTCTCCATCCAAAAAAGTAGATATAAAATTTGTATTGGATGTGTTAGAGTAGAACAAAGTAAATGTAGAAACATCTGCAGTGATTGTAGATATACCATCTGCAGCTACAATAAGATCAGGAGTGGTGTCAGGTGTTGTAATATCCATTAGATCCATACGATAGATACCATGGCCATCACCAGCTTGTGTCCAATAAAGATACCTATAGATTAACATATCAGGTGAATTAAATTACTGACTTACAAACTCTAGGTAATTATGTTATAAGCAGATATTCCATTATTTGGCAATGACATAGGACCCCTTAATACATGTTGATTCTTTCTGAGGTTTTTTCAGACTGTCAGATAACAAGATGATTTGCAACTTTGCAAAACACTTTGCTTTTTGTTCAACCTAGACTTGATGGTGCTGTCACATCGACACAGTTTTTGGATCACAAAGCACGCTATCAATCAAACAGTGGTGACAAGTCTAGAACAAAGCAAAAGCTAAGTGCAAGCCATCTTGCTTAACTGACTTTCCAAATAATTCTCAACTGTTGTAAATCAGTCCATGAATGACCAATATGCTGATGAATAAGTTCTTTGAATGAACAAGACTAAACTTCATGATATCCAGTCAATACATAACACAGTGTAAAATGCTTACCCATTATGTGGATCAACAAGAAGATCACTTGGGATAGAAGTTAAATTTATGGGAAGGATTTCAACATTCTCACCAAATAAATCACATCTTAAAATCTGGAAATAAAGCAATATTTCTAATCATGTTATGAGCATATTTTACAATAATTTTTTTATGTCTCAAGTTACTTAAAATCAAATGTGAAAACAAATTTCAATGACTCTTTAACAGATATATGTAGTGTCTTCCAGGAAAAATATTATTAGTAGTAATTATTGAAACATTCAAAGTATATTTTGAGATATGTTATTTTAAAACAATTTGAGAATTGATACTATTCTGGCAATACTGCTAATTCATGATATATGCCCCTATTTGCTGGGATTTCATTAATATCACTTTTCTTGAGAGACTAAGGTAGATACACATACTATGATGAACAAAGTCATTAAAGTCACATACTTGATAGCTTTCAACAAAGTACAGTAAATTGTTGAGCCAATCAACAGATAATGAGGTGATATTATCAGATCCAGTATAAATGATGAAGTTAGTTTCATTCGTCATGGATACATGTACATATATGTTACCATCATTATCAGAGACATAATACAGATCTTTCCAATAATGCACAGATATTGCTGAAAAATAAAATACTATTATTATTAATAAAATTTGCCTAATGAGCTATTAATATCAGATAGCTTCTCTGTTAATTGAAAAGTGAGTGGCATGATGGTTTACCAAAACATTTCCTTAGATATGAATACACATCCAGTATGCACTAAAATAAAACCAATATTGTAATCATATTCAAATAATTGTTTGTTTTTAATCAATCCAGAGCTGTGACACAGTGATAACATCACTATTTAATATGAAAGTGACAATTAATGTACTAATAGACTTGATAGCAATCCAGACACTGATTTGAAATCTACTGTACCTTGAATAATCCCATCAGGAATGTTGACAACTTGTTTGATAGGTATAGGGAATTCTGATAACTGTTCATATAGTGCTGAGTATAAAATATCATCAGATGCTACAAGTAATGCAGCTTCATTTGTATCTGCAGAATAATTGCAGTATAATAATTGTAAATGACATAGTCCTTGTCAATAATGATGTGTATTTAACATACAATCTTATACACTAAATTTCACTGAGAAAATCTTTAAATATGCAACCTAATATAAATATGTTTTCAACTAAATCATATCAGGAAACAATTTTAAACACATTCAAGTATTATAATAGCTCATGATGATGTCCAACATAGCGTAACTATTACAACATTGAAAATTGAGAAGCTAGATTAAATAACTATGAATGGATGATACAAAATAACAAAGACCGATTTTTTCCTTTGTATGACAAAACTGAGTATAAAAGTTCTAAAACAATGCAATAATATATCTAAACATTAAAAAATGGAATATGGTCTTTGTCACAAAATACACTGTATGTCAAAAAGAGTCAGGAGAAACATAAACAAGCAGCCTGTCGGCTGAGATAGCTCTGCTGTCAGCAATGCACATGGCAATTAAAGAACAGAAGATATCATTAGAAAATGAACAATATGCATAGTATCAATGCAATGGGACTTGCGGTTTTCAACAAGAAGTCGAAAATATCACTTTTTACCAAAAATTACATAAATATTCACCAACATTAGAGAATTGAAGATATCATTATGAAATGAACAAATCTGAGAGAGGTCCACATGTAGTACCTATATATGTAATATCAAAGCAATTGGACTTGCGGTTTTTAACAAGAATTTGAAAATATCACGTTTTACCAAAAATTACAAAAATATTCACCAAAATTAGAGAATTAAAGACATCATTACAAAATGAACAAATCTAAGAGAGGTCCACATGTAGTACCTATATATGTAATATCAAAGCAATTGGACTTGCGGTTTTTAACAAGAAGTCGAAAATATCACTTTTTACCAAAAATGACAAAAATATTCACAAAAAATAAAAAAATGGAGATATGATCATGAAATGAACAAATCTGAGAGAGGTCTACCCAAGGTACATATACACCAAGTATCAAAACATTTAGGCTCGTAGTTTTCAAGAAGAAGTTGACAAAGTAAAACATTGAGACGGACGACAGACGACGAAAGGCGACGGACAATCACTCATATGATAAGCTCCGCTCGACAAAGTCAACAGAGGAGCTAAAAATAGGCCAATGGCTTCTTGCTCAACGGCTATTGTACAAAGATTACTGCTGTATATGCCACACTTTTCGTTTAAATTTGTACTTTTAATGAAATATCGCCAACAACCACACAAGTTGTCAATGATATAATACA